CAAAAATAAAAAAACAAAACAAAACTAATATTTTGAAGCCCTAATGTTAGGCTGTTGTTTATTAGAGGATCAGTAAGCACACTACTGTGTGTACACTTGGTATCTCAGAATGTTGGTACTGTCTGTCTCAAATGGGTTTGAGAGGTACTGCTAGAAGAAGTCAGTATTTAGAGTCAGGACATGTGAGAGGGCTGTTTGTCACATGCTTGGGCTGAAGATTCAGTTTGAAAAGGGGCAATGTGTCTGTCTGAAGATGAGGTAAACTGGCCACAGGGAGAGATGGGTCAGCTGAAAGAAGCAGGGAGGGAAATTTTAAGAGTTGTGTCCTTGGTGGAAATCATGTTGTTGAGTGGAACTCACCTGGGCCTGGCCACCTGAAAGCCACCAATTCCTGCTGTTTGCTGGAATCAGGGGAAAAAAATTTGGTCAGAAGACTGTTCCTTGTTGTCATTAGTCATTTCTGCCTTCCCTGAAAAGCCAGAGGGAGTGCTGGCATGTCTGACATGAAGAATGTGGCAGCTTTATTTGCAGGAAAGGGCGGGGGGGGGGGGGGGGGGGGGGGAGGCAAGAAAATATTTGAAGTTGGCTATGGGAATTAATAATTTACCTCAGAAGAGAATAAGGAAGGGGTATTTATATTAGGTAAGGACATCAAGTTCCAAAAGAGAAGTCATCTGGACCAGAGAACAGATAGAAAAAATAATAGTAATATTTGGACAAAATCAAGGCATTTCAGATGGGAGACCTTCTACTGACATGTGCAACATGACCACAGTAGTGACCCTGAGAGGCAGTCTATATCCTGTTCTTTAGGCAGATGAGGAAGGGATCTACACAGATATGTGCAAGGTGCATCCAATATTTGTAGGAAATATACTGACAACAGTTGTTTTGTCCAGCTGGATCAGCTTACAACACCTTGTTTTATCTGCAGTAACTATCCCACCAACATTCTTGAAAAATGGATCACACGTGGGTGACCCTAATACAGGCTTCTAGTGTGGGTATATGCTCTGGTGTATATAGCCAGTTAGGTATGTGGTAGGATAAACCCAATCTCAACTAAGGAGAGTTAGCCTTCAAAGTTGTCCTGAAACTTTTGGGAAGTCAGTTACACAGTGCTCCCCACTATCAGCTTCCAAGCCTGTGTTGGGTCAAATGGGAGATAAATTGTGTTGCCATATCTGTGGCTCTCTTCCTATTGTGCAGCAGTGACTGCTCAACACAAGCACTTAGTTAATATTTATAAAACAAATGGACAAAGATTGGGCCTGGAGGATAATTAAGTTGGTAAAGTGCTTGCAAGCATGAGGACCCTAGTTCAATCTACAAAACATGATGATACATGCTTGTAATTCCAATGCTGGGGGGGTAAAGACAGAAGGATCCCTGGGGCTCACTGCCAGCCAGACTAGCTTACTTGGTGAGTTCCAGGTCAATGAGAGACTGTGTTTTAAAAAACAAGGTGAGAGCCAGTGGTATGGCTCAGTGGGTAAAGCCACCAAGCCTGATGACCTAAGTTTGATCCCTGGGAGGACCCATATGGTGGAAGGACAGACTCCATTCTCACAAGTTGTCCTCTGATCTATACCTACACACACAGACACACACTCACAAACATATATGAACACATATACACATACAAACAAAAAGACAATTGTCCAATTGTCTGGGAGGCATAGGAGGGTCTCTGTCCTTCCAGCATCATAGTAAGCACATTCAGTGAGATTCTGCTTCACCTGGGAGTAAGCTGCTAACCTAGGAAGCCTACTCATCTGGTTCCTAACCTCTAGGTACCCTTTATCTTTTTTTTTTTTTTACATTGACAATAATGACCAGACTTCTAGGGTTGTGTGAACCATGTAAGTAAGTTGTTTAAAACTGAAATCTTTTTTAATTTCTTTTTTTTTTTTTTGAGATTGGGTTTCTCTGTGTAGCCCTGGCTATCCTGGCACTTGCTAGGTCGACCAGGCTGGCCTCAAACTCACAGAGATCCACCTGTCTCTGCCTCCTGAGTGCTAGGATTAAAGGTGTGTGCCGCCGCTGCCACCACCACGTGGTTTTAAAACTAAAATCTTAAACGAATAAGCTGCGACTTGCTTGATCTCCATTGGGAGCCTTATAAGTGTAGTTGAGGCAATACTGGCTGCAATGTGGAAGCAAGTGAAAGGTGTACTGGATTTATATTATTCTCTATTCTTTGAGATTTTTGCAAATTTCCATAATAGAAGATTCAAGAGACAAATACATATTTGATAACATAGTTGTGGATAAACATCATTACATAATTTGTCAAAACTCAAAGGGAAAAGAACCAATTTCTGAAAGTTGTCCTCTGACCTCTGCACATGCTCACGCATATTCACACAAAAGAAATACATGTAAAAAGATTAAAAAATGCAAACATCAAAGAATGTATAATACCCAGGGCAAACATAATGCAATATATATGTGTGTGTGTGTGTATGTGTGTGTGTGTGTGTGTGTGTGTGTGTGTGTGTGTGTGTGTGTGTGTGTGTTCACTGACTGTAACCAACAGGAGTCTGATGGGCAGTTTCTATAATTTTCCCTCAATTTTGCTATGAACCTAAAATGGCTCAAAAGAAAGAAAGTCTTTGGAAAAAGGGACAATAGTAATGTAATTTTCTTTTGGCAGTGCTGGGGGATAGAACATAAGATTACTAAGCCCCCAGAATGTTTTTTAGAGTTTGATGCAGGGACTGGAGAGTGTTCAGTCTATAAAGTACTTGCTGTGCAAGCATGAGGACCTGAGTCTGAGCCCTAGCACCCACCTAAAACAAAAAGGCTGCTGCAGGGGCAGTGCTGGGGAGGCAGACAATAGGCAGTGGATACCTGGAGCTTACTGGCCAGCCTGCCTTGCCTAATTCTGAGTTCCAGGCCATTTGAACAAACAAACAATAAAAGCAGTACAATATGGTGGCACATGCCTTTCATCCCAGGACTTGGGGTAAGCAGATCTTTGTGAGTTCCAGGTCAGCCAGGGCCACATAGTGAGACCCTTCTCAAAACAACGGAACAAGTAACTAATGCTGGGCCTGGTGGCATCTACTTTTAATCTCAGCACTTGGGAAGGAGAGGTAGGAGGACCTTTGCAAGTTCTAGGGCAGTCAAAGCTACAGTAAGGCCCCGTTTAACAAACAAATCTCCCTCCAAATAACATCAACAAACCAAAATCCAAACCCACCAAAATCCAAACCCAAACTCAAACCAAATGAAGAACCCAAGGTAGATAGCATTTGAAAAACACTCAAGGTTAACTTCTGGCCTCCATATGCATGTATCTATATGAACACACACACACACACACACACACACACACACACACACACACACACACAGAGAGAGAGAGAGAGAGACAGACAGACAGACAGAGACTGAATTTGGTGTAGACATAGAGGGCTGGGTGTTAGCTGTTATCATCACTATATCTGAGACAAGGAGCTGAGCCCTGTTGACTTTCTTGCTTGACCATTTTAGTGTTGGATACACAACTCTCTCTTTCCTGGCATGCATCTCCTCCTGGGCATCCCACACCTCTAAACTAGCATATACCTGCCACTGAATACTTTCATTCCTTTTCCTTTTCCTTTCCTTTTTTCCTCTCTTAACATTTATTTATTTAGTGTATGTGCATGTATGTGCCTACACATGGTTAGAGGACAACTTGCAGGAGTTGGTTCTCTCCTTTTACCATGGATTTTGGGGATCACCAGGTTTGGCAGTAAGTGCATTAATCTAATTGATCACCTCCCTGCACCCCCCCCTTTTTTAGATGCAGTACCTCATGTAGCCCAGGCTATCCTGGAATTTGCTAAGTAGCCATGGTTTGATTTTAACTTTTGATCCTCCTCCCTCATTCCACTTCCTGAATGTTGGAATAATATATGCACACTACTATACCCAGCCCTACTCTCATTTCTCAAGGCCTGGTTTGCTCTCAGCATTTTTTTTTGAGACTCAGTACTTAACACCAATGGGTTGAAGGCTTGGAAAGCAGGTTGGAAAGCCACAGGACTTCTAAGTGTATCACCTCTGGCATGGCCACCTCAGGGATACCTTATGGGCTCCTCAAATTACCATGCCTTGATGTTTCCCATCTAGGAAGTCCAAGTTGTGCTCTCTCCATTTTGGAACCAGGTTGCTTCTGCACTCCTGGAGTTGATATTTCAGTGCCTGTACCAGCTTTAATTCCCATCTTTCTCCCTATAGGCTGACACTGGGCTAGTGAGAGTTGGTGAGTTTCCTTGGGTTCCAGAGTATAGAGCCATCTCCCCAATCAATGCCATGGGTGATGCCAGTTGGGGAGCCATTCTGCCTCCTATCTGAGTCACACCTGAGCTGCAGGGCCTGTTGACAAAGGCTGTCTGCTTAAGCTCCAGGAGTAACATGTTGGTTGATCCTCTGGGATTCATCTGTCCCCTCCATACACAAAGGACACCACCACCCTTGACTCTCCACTGAGGACAACATCTGAATGCATTTTATTCCACTGCAATTGATTAGTTTATTAACAAACAGGTCATTTAGAAGGTGAGCCTTCTGACAAACTGCATAATGCCATATACTTGGTGAGGAACTTTGATTGGATTCCAGCTACTTGGGCACCAAAGGCCAGTCTTCCATTCAGATTTGCAGAAGTGATCTGATTAAGCTCTGATATGGCTTACTTAAAAAGGATCACACTGCTGGGTGGTGGTGGCGCACACCTTTAATCCCAGCACTCGCGAGGCAGAGGCAGGCGGATCTCTGTGAGTTCAAGGCCAGCCTGGTCTACAGAGCTAGTCCAGGATAGGCTCCAAAGCTACAGAAAAACCCTGTCTTGAGAAAAAAAAAAGAATCAAAGAATCACACTAAAAACATGGTTGGATTGCAGTGCAGTGCCTCTGGGAGGGAGAGGTTCTGGAAGATGTCCCAACCTACCCACTGGCTGCTCCAGTAAAAGGAGAAAGCACTGAAGATCCTTGCCTCTGGGGGCACTCAAGAAATATAAGATGACACAGGAGGGGCAGAGGAAGGGGCTGGGTGGAACTGACTGTGGGATCAGCTTTAGGAAAACACAGCTACCTAAGCTCCATGACAAAGTGAAATGGGCCAGCCCTGCAGCCTTCATCAACTTGAGGCTACTTTCAAGCCCTGATATGTTCAGGCAGGGAAGCCTCATGCTTGGGCATGGGGCAAGGCCTCCACCCTACACTGGTGCCATGCTGCCTCCTTCAGTCTGGTCCCAGAGCTCTGCTGTGCTAGCCCGCCATGCTCCTTCGAGGGATACAGCCTTCCATCTCCAGGGCCTCTGGCCAGCCCTCATACTTGTTGGTGTGTTTACTGTTCTTCACATGCTGTAGGGGTTAACAGGAAGTTATGACCTGGCCCTCAGGGGCCAACCACCAGGGTACTCTTCAATCTGTTGCCCTTCCCTTCACGCAGGAAAAACAGGGGGTGGCTGCGGTGGTCTAGTCTCTCATGAGTGAAATGGGGATGGGACATGGGCCTGATGTACACCAGAACAGTGAGCACTGTGGACAGGAGGGAGTCCATGTGGCCTTGGCTTCAGGGAAATGCCGGAAGCTGCTGCCTGAGTTTGGGGTGAAGGGTCTTGAGTTTTTTTTTTTTTTTTTTTTTTGTCAGCCACAGCTATGGAGAAATTTGTATTTCTTGAGAGCAGGACTTGGAGGCCTACCTAAGACATTTTGCTGGGAGCCTTCTTGGTAAGGATGATACCAGGGGCCCTCTTCTCTCTAGTAGCCCCTAGCACAACATGTGCCTGGTGTAGCCTAAGAGGGGACCCAGGGAAGGTGGGAAAAGAGGATGCAGCATAAATTAGGAAACTGGGTTGTGACAAGGCTAGGATGGTAGTGAGCATATTTTTTTTCTTTAAATCTGAGACAGTATCTCATGTAGCTTAGGCTGGTCTCAAATTCGCTATATGGTCAAGGATAATCTTGAACTTCTGATTCTCTTGCATTTACTTCCACAGTGTTGGTATTACAGGTGTATCCCCATGCCCAGTTTTATGCAATACTAAGTATTATAATTCAGGGCTTCACGTATGCTAAACAAACACTCATCATAAATGAGCTACATACCTAAAATGAGCATCCTAAAGATGTTTGTGAAGAAGAATTCTTATTTATAAGTCTGGCCAATGTGCAATCCAACTTTTAAAGTCTTTAGGTTGAAATATGTACAGGACAGGGAAGATCAAAATTACTGTCTCTCCCTGTGGTAATAACAAGAGGCCAGGGCTAACCAGGGCACAGGTCAGGGACAGGACTCTGGGCCCTGATGGACAGAATTCAGGGAAACTTTGGTGCAAAGAGAAGGGGAGGCAAGGTTGCAAGGGGTAGGAGGCAGAAGTGCCAGGGTCTCTGCTGTACCTGCTCAAAGGGGCTCTTGTTTTGCACACCCTTGGCTCCCACAAACACCCAGCTGTCACGGAAGGCTAGCTCCTTGGCGTTCCTGCTGCCCAGTTCAGAAAAAAGCTTCCTGGTCTCTTCATTCATCCTGTTACACAGTAGGAAGAAATATGAACTAGGGACTGTTACTGTACTAGGATAACACTGAAGCTGGACTTGGCAGTCACTTACTTGGTAGCTGGATCATCATAGGATGCCACAAACACTAGGGTACCTTCATGCAGTGGTCGGATGAACTTCAAGAGATCATTGACATCTGGTGGAGATGAGCCCACAGAACATGGAGCTTCAGGTTCCACTGAGCAGCCCTTCCCCACCAAACAATATTCTTCTAATGAGGAAAATAATATAGGGACTGGGCAAGGGCTGTTCCACATCAACGGCCACCAGTATGCACACAGACAAACTGGTAAAGAAGCTAGGGCCATCTGGTCACAAAACATAGACTCCAGACAGAGATTCCCCTGTCTCCTACATTTTGTGAACCCAAAGCTATACTTGAATAGCTGAGTACAAAGGCACAGAGGACAGGGCTTCAGGGAGAAAATGTATAATTGGATGTGGTGGCCACTCACCTCCAGCCCACATGTCAAAGGCTCTAGCTTCCAGGAGCTCACCACTGACCCCTGTGTCAAGAAGAGGAAGACCTGCTAAGTAAACTGTCTGGGACATGCTACCTTACTGCCTGAGCCCCTAACCCAGGCTCAAACATGAAAGGTGGCAGCCCTTGCAAAAGCTTCAAACATGCCCTGTCATCCTCTCATTCACAGAGCTGCAGCCCATGGAGCCTCTGGCATGAGGCTCTGAGTATCCACTACTACTATTATGTTTTTGATCACTGGGTGACTTCCTTTGTAGAGCTTTTGGCTGGCATAGAATTTTTCCCAAGTCTCCCTGGGAATGCCCAGGAGCCACCTGCTCCTGAAGAGGGAGTAATGAAGTGGAGGGGCCAGGCCATAGCATGATATTTGCTTCTATGGTCTGTACTCTGACCCCACAACATGGGGGAACTCACCATTCACCAGGGCGATGTTCAGCCCACGGCCCACATTGTCCTTGACGCTGCTCATGAGCCTAGCAGGGGAGGGGGGGGGCAGAAGATCTCTTGTGGGCATATCACATTTCTCTTCCTCACATAGCCCTTAGCTCTTGGCCCTTGCAGACCTGGCCTCAAGTTCCCCTCCCACTTCCCAGCCCATATGCTCACATCTTGTCCTCGAGGCAGATCTTGGGCCCGATGACATTGGCAGCCCCGCTGACTATGCGGAAGGCCAGGTGCTCCTCAGGACATGGCTGGGGCAGGCCGCACTTGTACTTCCTGGCCCTTGGTTCTGAGTAATGATAGCAGATGTGACCCATGTACCTGGCCCTGGTGTCACCCGAGATCTGAGGGTGGAGGTCAGGACCAGCCACAGGGCTGAAGGTGCAGCCACAGAGCATGGAACTGGGGCAGGAGGTGAGTAGGGCTCAGACCAAAGCTGGGGATGTTTCCAAGTGGTGTGTTGGCAAGGGAGTAGGGACACCAAGAATAAGGCTTTCTTGCTACTGGCAGGAAAAGGGAAAGGAGATTGAGAGCTGGCTTGGAACCCTTATACAACTAGAAAAAACAGAGGTCCAGAAAGTCAGGGTGAGAGCTCCATGGATGAGGCATACAGTCAGACCAAAGTAGATGAGCTGAGGTAGGTGGGTGGAGCATGGGGGCTCTGATAGCCTCTGGATTTCTTCAGGGTAAGGGTGGGAATGATCTCTATAATGGCTTGAATTATGACCCTACAAAATATACTGGTGTCTTAATTCCCAGTTCCTCAGAATGTGGTCTTGCTGGGAAACAGGGTCTTTATAGACAGATAAATTATGACAAGGTCATACTGGACTATGTTGAGCCCTTAATACAGTGCGACTAGTGTCCTTATGAGAAGAGGAGAGAAGAGGAGAGGAGAGGAGAGGAGAGG